CGCTTGTTGATCAGAACGATGACCTAGTTGCTATTTTGAGCGAGTAAGCGCATTTTTATTTCTATTTTAAATAATTAGTCTCGATATGAACTCTGCTCTGGTAAAATTTGTGCTGTTGTACTCTCTTGTGCTAATTTTTTTCGATAATTGAATTTTTTTCAAATTTGATATTTCGCATTCATGTAGTGATATATACACTCACGATTTCAATTAGGGTTTAGTTGTTACGAAATGTTTCGATGATTCGTGCTACAGTTATCGAAAAGGGGCATATTTCATCACGGGATTTTTCGACCTGGTTTATCGAATTGAGAAACAAATTACATTTCTTAAATGATTATTTTGTAGAGTTTGTGAGATTTCTATTATGGATATCTTTGATTTTAATTTGTTTTCGGTTATGGTAAAAACACTAATTTTTATACAGTAGTCTCAACTGGATTGAACTATTGATCAAGTTGCAGAATGCTATCTGCATGTGATATGTTTTTGGAGTTAATAATGTTTATAATATCTCAAGACGAAAATGAATAAATTAATCAATAATTCATCCAATAATTGTGTTATCTTCTTCAATCAAACATTCCTCAGTGCAAGGTCTAATTTTTAGGGAAATTTTTGGTGTACGGATATTGTTTGACGTGCTAATAATATGCACGTCGCGATTTTATGAAGTCACCCCAACTTTGACTTGTCGCATGCGCGTATTTATAAAGCGACTGACGTGGATGACTGTTTCAATGATAAGAAAATGATTGCATAAATTGATTCTTCTGCTTGGAAAACAACTTATTACGAAACTTTGAAATGTATTGATGAATATCTTTTCTTTTTCCGATTTTTGTGTCTAGTTGTTTGATGGTTAACTCACCTTTCTTTATAGTTCATTTTTTTTTTCTCGTGACAAACCGACAATGCAGCCTAATTTTCTTGGATGGTATATTTCAAGTTTGTCTTATTATTTTTTTTAAATCAAAATTTGTAGCATCGAGATATACAAGCACAACAAAGAAGAAAGAATAGCAAGAACATGGGGCACAACGGCACCCGGCCTGCCCTACGTGGAGGAAACCATCACCGGAGCTGGGAACTGGCTGATTGGCGGCGATCTAGCAGTTGTAAACCCCGTTAACTACAACGATGGTTTGGACCGGTTTCGTCTTTCACCAGCTCAGCTTCGTGACGAGTTCGAGAGGCGCAATGCGGATGCGGTGTTTGCTTTCCAGCTCAGAAATCCCGTTCACAACGGCCATGCTCTGCTCATGACTGACACAAGAAAACGCCTTCTTGATATGGGATATAAAAACCCCGTTTTGTTGCTTCATCCTTTGGGCGGTTATACTAAAGCGGATGATGTTCCGCTGAGCTGGCGAATGAAGCAGCACGAGAAGGTTTGACTTATTTTTTGAACTTTTGACGCTCTATCTTTTGTGCTTTTTTTTTTTTTTTTTTTTTTAATTATGATTGCTATGAGAACTCCTTTTTATGTTTTATGTAGAGATTAGTGTACTAGTAATCGGTTGTCGAAAATTCCTTTTCCTTTTATTTGATCTGTATGGGATACATGTGAAACTCGAACGGAACACATCAGAAACGGGCAAAATTCCAATTCCAAAACTTTCTGTGAATGTTATCCATAAAGTAAAAATTGACTAATATTGCAC